AAAGGGTGTGCCGCGGCACACTGGTGTGTCGCCAGTAAAGCTTAGGTGTGCCGTGGGATTTGAGAGTTGACAAAAAAAAAACTTAAAATTAAAACTTAAAAACAAGAGGGAACGCCATCTCTCAGTTGAAAACGAGTTGAGAGTTGCACTATCATGCCTCGTATCAAACTGCTGTGTTCAGCGAAGCAAGCAGAAGCTAATCTTTCCCATTGAAAGATTAGCTGGGTGTGCCGTGGAAAGTTCAAGTGTCCTCATGTGTGCCGCAAATAAAAAAAGATCGGGAACCACTGATCTAGACTATTCCTTTCCAGGAAACTTTCTCTAGCCCTGCTAAGCAATTGTCCCAGCAAAGAAGCCTTCTTAAAAGCTCTGCCAGCTATTCCGCGAACCAGAAGTAGCATATGCTTGCGTAAGTATTTACAATTTTATCGCCCGTGCTGCAATAAAGCTAGTTATGTAGCAAGTTGCAATTAGCCTCTCCTGCGGTCCTGACAGCGTTCAGGTTGTTAGAGCAAAGAAACAACGACGGAACCTCCATAACTTACTCATTCCAAATTCGAAACTTCAATTTCAAAAAGAGAAAGAGAAATGGAGTCCGTAGGGAAATACATGTTGCTTCTAGCTGCCACTAATTCTGATAGAAGTGGAAATGATCTATGATTCTCTTCAGCTGCATCTATACAGTATAATTTTCCGACGACAAAATTCCCAATTCCGTTGAGGAAAATGCCTTTGCACAACTAAATGAAATTTCTTTGAATAAAAATATCCCTTTGTAGTTGACTCCATATTTCATGCGTAAAACTTTATGTACAGTATGAAGACTCCATACACAGAAACCGTGAATGGACCAGGGAAAACGAGTGTACTGGTACGGTTGCATCGCAGATGGGACTATGAAGAGCGATGAGGTAGAGGGGACGGAAGAGAGTTACGTCCTATCCCAGTCACACGTCCAGACGGCGAGACAAGACGAGAAGGTGGGTGCCAGGCACGTCCAGGCACAGAGGCTCAGGGAAGGGGAAGGGGGAAGGGGGAATAAGGAAGGAGTATGTGCGAGTTGGGGAGGGGGGCGGGAGCGTGAGCGGGGGGAGGGAATCCGCAACCGGGAACAGCCGGCCAACGCAGCGTGAATTTTCCTACTAATTCTGTTTAAAATATTGTTATCTCCTAATGACTCGAATGAATTTCACAAACTTTGTGTCAATCAAATCCTTATACATATCCATACATGTTATAGAAACTTATATGGGGATCTAGATGCCCAGAGAGGAGAAACAAGATATAATATAGCTGACATGCCAGAAAATTTCAAACTTGGGTTCAGTAAAATCCCTAAGGATATGAGGGGGGTGAACAGACTCGTCTGAAAATGGACCTGAAGCTGCTCAAGAGGCTTCTCCACAATAGCTTCTGTTAAAATTTTGAATTTCAATCTCGTTCTCGAGAAATGACCATGGACGTGAGGCACTATGCAAAAAGAGGGAGATTTTGAGGTATATCATCGAACTTCCGGGGAAAACGGTTCGTTGAATCATCGCGCCCTTTGACACGAAGACGAATGGGGACGGTCTCTAAAAACTGGAGCATGCTTTTCGCGATACATTGTTTCTTTGGAGAATGAGCGAGGGAAGAAGCGAATTCGCGAAACTCGAATTTTCACAAAAGGCACCACGGCGTCTCGGGGAGCAGAGAGACGAGCACGTTTTGTGACTCATCATTTAACTCATTCTGTGGCGAGGAGAATGACGCAAATTTGAGGTTTCTGCAACCAAGGGTTGGGGAGATACAGATTTTCGAAGAGAGGCATGCAAATCGTGACCTTTGACCATTCGCCACGGTTAGGTGCTTCACCTTTCCCTTGGGGTCCTCTACAATAATTATAAGCCAGAATTTGATTCTAGGGGGGTCGATTTTCATCTTCCCTTAGTACCTTAAATCTCGCTTGGCTCTGGTCTTATCCGTCTCCCCCCTTGCACAAAACCTTTTTTTGGTATCCTCGGCAAATTTTCCAATCTTACTCTGTACGTCTACAGTAGATATATCAATACATCGTTAAGGCAGAAAAAAAAACAGGGTGGGCATTAAGTCATGCATAATAACAATTGTATATTTTTTGGTTGCAGGTAATTTACCTCTAAGATGTAGAGTAAAAGACCCAGTGATGGGCCTGTTAATGGCGGATACTCAGTGATGGGCCACTTCGCAGGAAAATTCCAAAAACTAGGCATTTGTTCCAATACCACTTCTGAAGTGTCTATGTGCTTGATTGCTGCTAACCTATGTCATAACATGCGTAGGCATGCTATGGAAGCTTAGCTATTGGAATTTTTATGTGCTGTGGCCCATCACTGGGGACCGGTCCATCACTGGGTCTTTTACCCTATGTCAAAGAAGAACGAGTGCAGATAATCCTGTTGTATGGTAGGGAAGACTGGTCAAGGAGAATGGTAGTTGAGGGTGAGCCTCATTGAAGTGATCGATCGAAACCATAATATGCCTATTATGCGTGACTATATGCCCACCTTGTAGAAGCGGTCGTGGGACCGGAAGGACACCGCTTGCGACCCCGACTTCCGTCGACGTTTCCCCATTTACTATTACTCGCTGTTCTCTTCCCGTCGACCAGTTATTGATTCAATCGCTCGTCTTACCACGGATCCCGTGAGCCTCCAATTTAACTCGAGACCTCTAGTAAGGCACGGTATCGAATTTTTTCGCGAAATCTAAACTGACGATGTCCACGAGATTCCCCTTATGTTTGGCATGTATGTTTGGCAGATTGTACCACAGCTGTTTCTACCATGGATAATGGCATATGAGGCATATGGTAGCACCTTCCAGTAGCGATGGCATAATGGTGGAATATGTCTGGCAATACGACATAGTGGCTTGCTTGTTGAAATTTCCACAATGCTGTATTGCAAGATGAATCCATTCCTTCCTTTCCTGATGGCAGCTACCAACGGACCCTGAACCGTCGAACCTGTTCTTTCTAAAGAACAGCACATTGAATGATGAATGATTTTCTTCTCTAGCTTTCATTTTCCTTCGAAATGCGGGTTCCTGGGTTAGACCTAAGATTTATATTTATTTAATCGTGACACTAAAGTAAATATCATTAATGTCTGTCGGAATCTTCTTTTAAAATCATCTTTACTCGCTATGGACTTAAGAGTCATAAAATTCACACGCATTCGGTGAGATGCAATCCTGTCTGAGAATCAATGACATCAGCTACCTGTGAGAAACTGTGACGTCTAGTTTTCGAAATTGCTAGTCATATTTCTTCGGCAACATATTTTGATGACATTTTGAGAATCTGTCGTTAGCATGAACAGCTTCAATTTTTTTACCAAGAGGAAAGGGCGTTTTCTAGATTGGTTGTTGGTTTCTGTGGATTAACACATCCCTTTTACACGAGTTTAACCTTTACGCGCTCACTTTTGTAATGTAATGTAATGTAAGTAGGACTTCATGAACACGCATGAAACTGAAGAGCAATTCCGTAACTTATCACTTTTCCACTCTTACTAGTATATTCCTGTGAGGACCTCAATCAGTACCCTGTCTAGTTTAACAAAAAAAGTGCCATGTACTGTGAGGTCAATGCGATCAACGTCCCATTAAGTTAACTGGATGGATAATTGGTGGTGTACAACGGAAGGAAGGTGCTCCTTATCGATGAATACCGTGAGCAATAGTGAGAATCCGATTGTTATATATGTGTTGAGCCTTGCCCATCAATATATTTTAGGACAAATGGTAGCGTAGACTGCTTGTCCATTTAGTCCTCGAGAGTTTTAGGACCGAGTGATTCGAGTGATTCATATCTCTTCAAATACGTATATTTGCAGTGCAGACATGGAATTGCCTGATCGTTGGCATATCGGTTGATCGACGACATATCGGTAAATTTCGTAACCTTTTGTTGAAACATTTCCTGCATTCTCCTGATGTGCTATTGCAGGTTTTCTTGTTTCTTACTCATATCACTCCATATTCTGCCGTACATATGCCGGTCACATCCAACTTCCCCCAAAATATATGGAGTTCCACGAACAACCATAAATGATAATAGAAGAGTGGCAAATTCCATTTCAATGTTGGACATCGAGAGTAGGATAATTACACTGTCTTGAAATAAAATAAAATCTCCAGGAAAATATGCAGTATATGTTATGGGTCCTTCCCCTTTTAAATGCGTCTTGAGGCTCCCATATTCCATACACCTACATAGGGTATCTCCAATGTACCCAAAAAAAAGGCCATCCGATAGGTCATCCAATGGATATGTCCAAGGATTATCACTTGGACGAGACATTTACTCATCCAGCGGATATCCGAGGATATGCATTGGATGTCCAAGTGTCCATGAGGGTATGTCCAATGGATTTCTTTTCAATCAAATTGCAACTTGGGTTGGGAAGGCAACGTCATTTCTCGCCCAACCTGTGAAGCTCGCTTCCCATGGTCATGGTCTTACCAAACTAGAAGAGACAAGTCTCGCGCTATTACCTTTCAGAATCACAAGAGTCTGAAACTTTTCGGTGAATCCTGTATGTGTTGTTCTGAAGCAGGTTTTTATTCTTCATTACACTTCACTTCCAACATGCAAGCTGGCAAAGGAAAATGCCTTCCTCTTTTCAACCCTGGGTTCGTAGTCGAAGTATGACGCAAAATAATGCTCCTCTTCCAAAGTGCCGATGAACTGATCACGCTTCGAAAAATTTGCCTTTCTAGAGGCTTTCCGTGCGAAACAGAGCCATCTCTCGGCGACCGAGGAAACTGATCTGATTCCAAGTCAAATAGAGATCGGGAACGTACATGAGCCTTGCATGATCATAAATAGTCCTATGACTCCTCTGAATTTGTGCATACTTTTATTCAGAGAAAATAGCAAGAAATTCGTCGCTGAAGAACGCAAAAAGATTCATTTCCTTCAAGAGTGAGAGCGAGTAAAATGCTCGTCAGATTTGACAACCGTGTTATAGGGATGGCGGCTGACGTGGAACCACGTGCTCCACGCCTTAGCTCTCAGCGTTAAGGAGTTTGTTGGCCTCATCGCAATTTTACTCTCGTTGATTAGGAACGTGAAACCTCGTAGGGCGATGATGTCGTGACTCGAAAATGTGGTCCATCTTAGTTTTCATTGCAATTCTCTACCTTGCCGTCATTGGCATTGCCAGGTGAGATTCATTTCAATCATAATTTGGTACTTAGGGTTTATATATCTTTAAAGCTAAATTATTAAAGTATTTTCAAGAAAAGAGTCTACAATAGAAAACAGCACCTTTCTTAATTGGTTGATTAGACTGACCGGATTCCTAATAAGAAAAAATACACAAACAAAAAATCAATAGAATCTTTCAATCAAATATTTTGTTGCATCCCAACCCAGCCATCCAGGACGAACCCAATTGGGTTCAATGAATGGCCTTAATGCCGCTATTTGCATTTGCATTTGCATTTTTTTTTTCTCTCTCTCTCACTCTCTTCTCTCGCTTTAATTTATTTACTTAGTGTCTTCCATTTTTGTCACTGGCTTTACCTTCATCTTTGTTCCTTACCTGCAAATATGTGGGAACATATTCTATTCTATTCTATTCTATTCTATAGTGGCACATAGATTGAAACCTGTGTCCATGATGACATGGCATAGGGTCAGCTTTTATTCCATTGATAGCTATCTAATTCTAAAAGTCACCTACCTGCAATCTTATCATTTTAATTCCTTTTTCTCAGCTCAAGTTAGAAAAGTCCTTATGCATTAAAAGTGTCTCTAAAAGTGTCATGGCAATGTAGCCGTAATCCTTTTGATTTTCTTATTACATGCCCCACTTTTGTGAGCAAGAGCTGATAGCCTTGCTATGCTGGCTAACGACTAGAATATCTATTCCAGCCGTAGTTGATTCGTTCTCTGCCACAACCTCACCTAAAGTAAACACTTTAATAAGTTTCAAGCAGCTAGGAAGCCTGATAGCTGTGCATTAGATGAACAGGAACCTCATGGGTGAATGACTCCAGTGAAACTAGAGATTGTTCTGGATGTAAGGAAGGCATGGCTTGATGTGCACAGAATTTTTCAGATTTTGCAGAAAGCTAATTTCTATTCTCAGTAAAGCTTTCAGAGTAAGGATGAGAGTTCTGTGTCACTTTTTAATCTCCCTTTGCATCCAGACATCATGACAGACATTTACTTCTGTTCATCGGCACTTTGTAGCGGGACATAAGTATTTGATGAAGTATCCCTCTATATGCACACGAACCATTTTGCCATAAACAGAAACCTGGTCAGCCTGGATGTATCTAGTAACTATCCTAATCAATAGTTTCACTCTGAGTATTGCTTTGTGATTGACCTCTACCTATTGTTTCTATAGTTAAAATATTTTTTAATGCTCAATACAGGGTGGACTTAAAGTCATACATCATAGGCATATTATTATTTCAGTTTGACCATTCTCTGTGACCAGTCTTCCCTACCACACAACAGGATTACCTGTTTTCCTGCAACAAAATAAAAAAGATGCAATAGTTATGATGCGTGACTTTATGCCCACCCTTATAGATTCAGGCTAGAGCTTTTCATTACAAAATTAATATGATGAAGTACTTTGTACAAGAGATCCTGGGACCATGACTGTACCCTGACCTGGAATAAAAGCTGACCCTATGCCATGTCATCATGGACACAGGTTTCAATCTATGTGCCACTATAGAATAGAATAGAATAGAATAGAATATGTTCCCACATATTTGCAGGTAAGGAACAAAGATCCCCCCCCCCCCCCCCCCCCCCCCACGCACACACATCAGCTAACATGAGTAACCTTAGGAGTAGAAGGCTTTTTTGATGCTGGTGTGAGAACTCTCACTGTCTTCCATAAGCATGTTCTTTGTCAAAGGAAGTATTAAAAAGGCAACTATTGCTGATTTACTATTTCTGATTGCTGACTTGTTTCAACTAAATGGAGATGAAGATGTTTGATTTTGTGAGGAAATTTTATTTTTAGCTTAAATTCCGCACATGTCTGATGAAAGAGGATACTTCATCAGCATTCAGGCTTAGTCCTAAGTGATTTCTTTATGTTGGCTTTTTGCTGGAAACATAGACCTGAGCCTAAATTTAAGCTGTTGATGTCCTATGTAGGCCGATGCCTCTGTTGTGATTGGAGGCCTACTGGAGTTTGTCTTTTCCATTTCATCTTAAAAAGGATAAGCCTATGCACATTGAGGGAGATGCTAAGCTGGAGAGTCAAGTGATAGAATCTTGAAGGGTATGGTGATGCAAGGAAGAAGAATATAGCAATGATAATCATGGATCTTTTGGAAAATGTGTTTAAGTGGCCCTGTAGTCCTTGGAGCTGCTTGAATGGAAAGTATGGTAGCTCTGAATCAGGAGTTACCTCCTGAAATGATAGACACTGAAATATTTTGAGGCAATAGGCCCTGCACTGGTCAATCAGACATTGAAGTTATATGAGTCACCATTGCTTAGACCTAGCCTAGGCTTAATGGTGAATCTTATTCCAACTTATATGTTAGCCTATGTTCCCAATTTTTTTTCACTCTTCCTCAAATTGATTATTTTATGCTACTCCATAAAAAGCAAGTAGCATAGCAGTTATAAAACCTAGTATAAGTCTTGGCCTTTTAAAAAATGCAAATGTTTACTTTGTAAGATTCAGTGTAATAACTGTACTTTTAAATGAGCCCAATCCAAACTACATTTATGTAAAGAAATCATCAGTCAATCTGGTTATTTTCTCTGCTGTTGATGTAACAGCTGCAGCCCAGCAATTATCAGCTGAACATCAACAGCATATCATAGTTCTAGACTTTGCTCTGATGTTGCTGAAAACATAGAATAGGTTTATGTCTGGTAATAGGCCCATGTATAAAACTTCTGGTTATTGCATAATGAGCAGATTTCCCACTCAAATTAGTTGTAGGTAAAGTGCTACTGCCACTTGTGCTCATTGAGTTCATGTGTTTCTTAAAGGTTGGTGCCCCTCCTGCTTTCATGGATTTGTAATCAACTCTTCTCAGCCCGCATTCAGGTCGGCACAATCAAGATCTTATCCTTGGCCTTACATGACCTCCGCATCTCCAAGGATGGACTCATTGTTGTGAGAAATATTGGTTCAATTTAGATGCTGGTTAAATTTGACTGAATTGCAATGGCATTATTTTTTCCCTTGTGTGTTTTTCTATGGAAATACTAAAGGAGGTGGAACGGCTGAAAGTGTCATCCAGCTTCCTGAAGCGGAATGTGACCCGTCCACTGACACTGACCTTGAGTGATGTTCGCGTGGAAATTGATCTGAATCATAGGAAGGCAGTGAGAAGAGCTAAAACTTCTCCCAATGGTGCTTCAGGCCCTGTTGCTATTGATGTCCCACCCTGGGCCCTCAGTCTTGTTCAAGTTAGTCTTTTATACTTAATTTGAGATTGGAATTAATGTGAGGTTGTGTTATTAAAGCATGAGACTTGCTATTTTGCATTTTTAGTTTGTTGGGTTGGAGGTGGAACAGGGGAGCATCATGCTATTGAAGATGCCCCACCCCGAGGGGATGCTGATTGTGACTGGTACCTCCCTTGATGTCCACGGAACAGTCACGTCCCCCACAAACGGTACCGTCATCCTTACCCTCAAGACCTTTGCCTTTCGTCTCCTCCAGGTCTGTCTCCACTTGGCCTCGTGAGAAATGGCAGTGATGTTTCTGTCACTTTAGAGTTTGATTCTGTGTGACAGGGTCATTCAGCACCGTGCCTTGCAGAAGTCTCATGCTCTGTCCGCCTGGAGACCCAATTCACCACTGACACTGGTCTACAAGTTGTGGTGAGAATTTAGCATTTGCCTCATGCAAAGTATTCCATGTGAAATCGTAATGCCAAATATGCTCCTCTGGTCTTATTTAACTTCCCTCAAAAAGACCTATGTACAATGTAAGACTGAATCAAAACTGCATGACAGGAAAGAGCACTCATGGCAATGTTGCATGGATGGCTTCAGGTACTAGACATGGTAGTACAAAGTAAATCAATTTACCAATAGACATAGAAGCAATTTAACACTTGGGTACTGAGTTTCTATGCCTCCTGGCTGTGTATTTTTTAGGGGCTTGTATGCTCAATGCTTAGTTTGGGCTTGAAACATGCAGTATCTCCAAAGGTAGTTATAATTTTCATTTTCCTTATTAGGGTGTTATAATCCCTAAAGCAGGGATTGATGCAGATCATGCTTCCCAGCTGCACTGGTACAGCCATAGTATCGAAATTGTTGTCCGATCTAGAAATGCAATAACTGCATTCAGCTCAGCTCAATGCTGGACAGCTCAGTCAAAAGTGTCAGCTGGAACCAGCTACATATACCACCCTAATACCATCTATAAACCAGCTGGTTTTAAGCTGGTTGTAGCTGTGTTTTGGAACATGAATCCAGCTGGTATGAAGATGGAATTGGTTAGTGATGCCAGCTGGTATGCAAATGAAATAGGAAGGTAGAATGAATATGGAATTTAGCTGATACTTGTAGTTTATTGTCATTTTAAATATTAATGGAACATGGAATCCAGCTGGAAGGGAATCTAATCTTAGTTCAAGTAAGGGTCTAGTTTTCAAAGTTCTGAAGTTCCAGAGTAAAACAAAAAAGGCCTTTAATGTGAAAATGACATGAAAAGTTACATTGTAAAGTGATTGAAAGAAATCACATATAAGGCTTGGAAAATTGGCTTTCATGACACCTCAGATGTTGTGGAAGTCAATGTGCTTGCCTTCCTTAGTCTGTTTCAAAACACTTATTTTTCAGAGGTACAATGACCCAATCAATCCAATCACCCTGCTGACATCCTTTCTGAGTTGTTCTTGAGTCTAAGGGAACTCTACTGGAGTTGTCTTCGATATGCATCTAGCAAGATAATGAAAGGAAATCAAGGCTTCATTCATGATATGATCAACTCAAATGAATCTAATGAATACAGTACTTTCAGCATCTGATAAGGAGAGAGGAATCCTTTCCATCCAGAACCATGCTTTAAGTCCCTTTTTGAAAAATAGGATTATTTTGCATATTTCTCCCATCTCATTCAGGTATCCTCCTATTGATGTGTACTTACTTTGTGTAACTCTGACTCATGCAACAACTGACACATGGGCAGGACATTATCTGATCCTTTTAAACCACCATCATTTTTTTATTAGCGTGAGCAATTATAATTGCTTTTTCATTTGGTATCAGTTGAAAATACATCCAAGTGTGTTGTAAGAACCCAGTCAAAGGCCCATGTATACATACCCCCTTTCACTGCTCTGCAGTTCGCTCTGAATTCAATGGCAAAAAGATCTCTATCTCTGACTTCCCTGGATACCAACTCCAATTCAGCTTTTGTACAAACTTGCTCTACATATTATAAGTCGTGCTATTTTTATATATGGGCCTATTACTATATTATATTCATTGGCATTCAGCTTTGAACTCCATTTACAATTCAGATTTCAGGTCTTCAAATTTCAAGCTGATTCGATGCAACTCTAGTGACAGGTCTAACTTATGAAAATTGTTCAACTTCACTCACTGGAGAAGCTGCGATGGACTTGAGCAGATATCACTGGAGCATTAGGAGAAACTAAAGAACTGCTGACACGTTGCTTGAAACGTGTGAGAGTGAGTCGTGGTAAGGAGGTATCACTGAGACACCCTTGGGAATGAATGGGGGAGCATGCTTAAGTTTGCCCCAGGATGTTATGCCCCCAAGGGCATCAGGTTGTAGAGGATACCCCAGGCTGTGTGCAGCCTCCACTCCTGCAGGTTGTGAAAACCTTGGAAATGTGGAACCTCTTCATGTTGCACCTGCACCTATCCCACATGCTCCTACTCGGGCCTGATGCTTGATATGAAACATTCATGGAAGTCCGCAATTGAGCAATTGAAGGGTGTCTGAACTGTATCGTAAAACTCCTGGGCATTTTTGTGCACTTTGCAGGAATGATTTTTTTTTGCATGGATGTCTTTTCAGTTGACTTTAGATGAGAAAGAATTGATGAACATACATTTTCATAAATTTCTCTTATTCATAGTTATGGTATTGAAGTCTTATATATGCTACAGAGTGTGTCTCATGTAGAGCATAAGGGCAAAAAATGAGAAGAGAATCCATCTGAAAGCATCTAATAACCACTCAGACCAACAGAACCTTGTTTCCTGCCATTGCCATCCTTTGAGGTTCAGGCCAGTTTGTGCATGATGCTGACCCTAGCCTTCACTTTGTCGCATGTCCTTTTGAGGTAGGGTCTGCAGGTGAGGCTGCAGTCCAAGGGTAACACCTAGATATGTTAGCTTGGCCTTATTATTTACTCAATGGCCACAGTGGGAGACAGGGAGAGTCTCTTAAGTGGCTTGATTGTCAGGGTGGAATGTGGTGACTGATGTTTTAGTTGAGTTTGGACAGAGTCTCCATCTTTCGAAGTACTTCGCTAAAGTGTCCATTTCAGTGGTGAAGGTGTCACTGATGGCAATGCGAGCGCAATGTCGTTGATGTAGACAATCTTTTCAGTGGTTGCTTGCAGTAGGTCGCTCATGTTTAGATTAAAGAGCAGTGGAACATGGTCAGAACCTTGTGGCAGTCCGTTATTGAGTATACAGGGTCTGCTTTTTTGTCCATTTAGGTGAACACAGTATCTCTGGTCACTTAACATGGTTGCTATGAGGCAAATTGTACTGCTGCATCTGATGACTGTAGATGCTGTAAGGAGAAGACCATCCTTCCATACAGTGTTGTATGCAGAGGAGGGATTGATCAGGGCAATGCTGGTTTTTTGTTTCTGCTGGAAAACAGTTTCGATGTAGCTTGTAAGAGCTAGTACTTGGTCACAGCAACTTCTTTGGGGGTGGAAACTAGCCTGTTCTTTTGGATGAGTTGCCTCAGTGGATGTGAGGCAGGCTAGTTGAGCCCTCTCCATCAGCTTGCTTGTGGCAGAGAGAAGTGATATTGGGCAGTAGCTGGCAGGCTTGTCTTGTGGTTTTCTGGGCTTTAGTATGGTGATGACCTTTGCCTCTCGCCTGCTCTTTGAAATTTTTCCTTACAAGTGGATGGCAGTTAATAACCTCACTACCCATTGTCAGCCTTTTTGTCCCAGATTCTTGAGAAATTCAGGAAAGTACCGTCTGCCTAGCAGCTTTTTGTTTTTAGTGGCTGTTAAGGCCTTTTTAATTTCTTCCAGGGTGTGGGGGGAAGAAAGCTGTGAGGTTGCTGAGCATTCAAAGAGGTTGAGAGTGAGTGTCTTTTTTACCTCCTTTTTTGCTTCTTTGTTGGCTAGCATCTTTGTGTTGTGTAGAAGTTCATCTGTGACAGCATTTACTGTCACATTGGACTGCTGGTTCTGAGTCTGTACAGCAGCTCTGAGTTGTCAGAGGAGAGCCCATGCAGCTTGAGTGACTGAGAGACTCCACTGTTTCACTCCATCACTTGAGTTGCTCAGAGTTCAGTGACTCAATGAACACTGTCACCTTGTCTGGGTCACAGGTCAGGTTATACTCCCACTAGTGCTGTTCTGTCTCACCTGACCAGCAAGGAGTGTATGCTTTGTGGAAGCCCCATGGAATGTTTGTGCAGCTGCTGAGAAGAGAATTCGAGCAAAGAGCTCAAAATTATCTGGGATTGGTTTCACTTGCTGGATCCAGTCTTCTATTTCTGCCCTGAGTGGCCCAGTTTGCCCTGTAGAAATTCCAATGCGGGTTTGGCACCAATTTGATAACTGGAACCTCGATGCCAATTTTCACAATCACTGGGCACTGCTGGCATCTTGGGAAATGTGGCAGTATGGTCCTTGAGGCCATCAGAGTTCCTAGCATATTTTGACAGGAAGCAAAGGTCTGGTTTGTGGTCAATAGACCATCTTAGAATGTGCCCTGTTGTTTTGTGTCAAAGAGCAGGTGGACATCTTTGAGTGATAACCAATCTGTGAGCTCACTGCATCATTTGTGGCATACCCCCAGTCTGTGTGGTGGCTGTTGAAGTTACCAATATAAACAGCTGGGTCAGTCACTGGTGGAAGCATGGGGGTCAGCCATCCCAAGTTGGGTGACTTGTAGACATTCACCAGTGTGACAGACCTTGTTTTTACTATGGTGTAAGAGACCCCCAAAGAATTGGTTTCTTCAAGTATGGTTATGTCAATGCCATGCCTGATGTATGTGGCAATACCATGCTTTGCTTCATTGGTGGAGGCAATGAATTTATATCTGGCGATTCTGTAAATCACAGCTTTTTGGTTGTCCTCTGTGTGTGTCTCTTGTAGGGCAGCAATGTTGATTTTGCTGTCCCTGAGCATTCTGGCCAGGTAGTCACACTTGGCATGCAGCAAACCTTTTCATTGAGCTGGAGTATGCAAAGGACAGGCCCTATACTTCTTCGCTGTTGGCCCATATAAGGGCCTTTTTGGTTTTTTGCTGTTGCTGATCATACCGGGAGATGAATGACTTGACATCCGGTGGCCTTTAGGCAACATTAGTTGTGCTGCTGGGTTTACACACACAAACGCTTAATAGGAGCACCATGTGAAGGTTGCCGTCTTGCTCCTGCAAAAAGAGTTGAGTGAGTTGGACTGTCGGGACCACAACGAGAAAGTGTTTATGTTCCTTGAAGTGTATTTGCCTAACTCTTTTGTGGGCCATGGGAATCTTACATCCCACTCTACAAATTCTTAATTATGCATTGGAAATTCTGCGTCCCACCCATATCTGTTGATATCAGTGGGAATTCTGTATTAGTCACAATTTGTCCCTTGTTCCACAATAGATACCTATGAAGTGTCTCTGTGAAATTTATTTAGTAGAGAAAAAAATGCTGGAAGATATGCCAAGTGTCTATTGCCTGCAAAATTGTTAAAAGGATGTGGGTATTCAGAAGTGATTTGATCCTAATGTTGTTTCAAGACCTTAAATGTTTTCATTCCTGTGTAATAATTTCACTGAAGATCTCAGATTCTTTTCTTTCATTTCTTATCCTCCACTTTGAATTTCGAAGTGTGCTTTTGATAAGCTGGTGAAATCTAGTGCTAATATGTATGTTATGTTGAAGTAGGATAACATGGAGACTTGTGGCAACTATTTCAGGATGTGAAATGCAACATCCAGGACTCAGACATGTCAATAAGTGAAGGCATTTTGACCTTCCTTGCTGAAACCAAACCTGCCCTTCAACAAGACATAGATGAAACTCCTGCCCTTGAGATGGATCGATCTTCTCCAAGGTGGATCAGCCTGGTTCCACGGAACCTTGACCTCATTGTAACATCCCTGTCGGCAGCAGTGACAGAGCGCGACCGAAACCAGTCTCTTGGTCTACATCTCGGCCAGAGCGTCTTCACCTATCATGTTCGAGACTGGGTGGAGCTCCTTCAGTCGACCGAATGCAGCGTCTATGTCCACCTAACGGCGTCATCCCTGGAGCTGAGAGATGGGCATCTCAGCCTGGTGACTTGGAGTCACATTGGGCACACGCTGGAACTCTTGCCCAGTACAGAGGTTGAGGCTGGTCTGAACATCCAGTCCCTTCGTGTCAATTATTTCCACAGCATTGCTGCTCGCTGGCTGCCAAAGCTTCCCACTCAGAGGTCAAACAACAAGTTGAAACTCTCCCAGCCCGAGCCCATCTCTAGACGATTCAGCAAAGTCACAGTGCAATTTGACTTGAATGACATAGGTGGCTCTCTGTCGTTTGAACCTGATCATGTCCTGAAAGCAAATATTGTCAGGCTCAAATCAACATTGGAGACTGACCAAGACTCCAATTCTGTTGAAATCCTGCTGGAGAGTTTGTCCTGTGATTTGAGACAATCACCCTGCAAGTCTGATATTCATCCAAAGAAATTCCACATATGGCATGTACCCCTTTATCTTGGGAATGCTGTGATCAGTCTCAAGCAGCTGTCTTCTTCACGCTCTGTCAAGTCCTCATTTGAGTACGTGCAGCTGGAATGGAGTGATCAACTGATGGAGACCCTTTGCATGATTCATGCATATTTGATGCCACTTATACCAGTTCGCACCATGCAGCAGAATTTGCAGGAGACCCCTGTTTCCCAGGAGACAAAGCAGGAAACCAAAGCTACCCAGCAGATGACTCTGGAGATGAGCATCACCAACTTGAATGTATTTGTGATCACCAAAGGTGACTACTGCCTTATCTATTGGCACACAACAATGCATCTTGCCTTGCTCCATGCTCTCAATTCTTTCCGCCAGTTGATGGGTGCCATCATGTCCAAATCTGGAGCTTCAGGTTGGAGGCTTTGTTTGAAATGCATATGAAGACACACGGTTTAGTTTCTCAAGTCCATGGTTTATTTGTTTCTTTTTGGTATGCAGTACTTGAGGCAAAGGAAAGGTCTGATGTATCCAAATCCCCATGGGAATTGAGGGCCAAGATCTCTGGAAATTTCTCCCTGCAGCTCTTGGTCTCCTCTGATCATACTGTGGAACTAATCACTGGTAAGTGAGTTGGTGCAAGTTGCTCATGAAATAAGTGAAATTTGGCTAGACTAAGTTTTAAAATATCTCAGTTATTTAATGAAAAACCATAGCCATACCCTGAAAAGTGGTCAGTCTGTACTTGTGAGTATTGAAGCAGGTGAGACTGGGCCTGCAATGAGTTGCATCCATGTCAAAAGCATGATGATGATAGGGAATAGAAATTAAATACAGTACCTTTGTTCTTGATGTCTGACTTACAGATTCCATGGAGCTCATTCACAATCTCTTTGCAAAGAAATGAGCTGAGGTATGGTTAACAAAGAAATTGAAGGAAAAGAAACAGTTAGCATTCAAAACATTTCCTGACTTAGTACAGTACATGAAGTGTATCTGAAGCAATTCATTGAGTGAAATTTAGACAGGAACATTCTTCAGAGACAAAGCCACAACAAGGGGAGCTGTGTAGCTGCAAGTGACCAGGCAGTTGGTGGATATGTTCCCATAAAAATATTCTTTTAAAAGTCAGCCAGTCTTATTATTTTATTTAAATCTGTAAAGAATGAAGAAAACACAATTTCTAGACATCAAGGTAATTCCCCAAGTAGTTACCACAGAAACAGTGGGGCCATGTATCAGAAGGGCAGTATTGTTTTCACCTTTGTTTCCAGTGAAACCCATGCCCTTAGGATATCATGGCTTGTTGATAGCAGGCTGGAATAGGGTCATCGTTGTTGCTCAAGGATCAAGACAATATGTGTCATTATCAGGTATCATGAAGGTGCATCTGTTTTCCTCCTACCAGAGGATGTAAGCATAATGAAAGGGGCAGAGGTTGATGTGAGGAGCCCTGTGATGCAGCTGTACATGGATGGCCACAGAATCCTCTCGGTGACAAGCCTGCATTTTGCATCTGCATCCCGTGACGAGGACCTTGAAGCAGAAAGACTCACCTTTGAAGAACTCACCCTTCCTGCCAACAGGATGTGGTAAATCTCTCATATAGAGTTTCTTGTAACATTGTCCTATGAGGGTCAGCATCATGTCCACTTTCAGCCCTTCATTTTTCTAATAACTAGAGGAAGCAAGTGAGGTTAGATTCATTTGAACAAGTTGGAGCATTTAGCACATGAGGTAGCAATGCAGCATGCAGAAGCACGACAAACAAAAAATTTGTCTCGCATGTCATCTCTTACAGTTGTATGAGCCGATGATGAAATTTTAATAGGAAATGGAGTGCTGCAATGATCCATGTCGTGTTTCCGTACGAGTACAACTTCGCCGAAGCATATTCAGAGAAGCTGGTTGGCGTGATAAAATGGTTGAAGCAAGTTCACAAACGGACATCCGAGCCATTTCGGCCCAATGCCCCTCTGCCACCTGACCTCAGCATCAAGGTCTCCAGGTTTCATTCTGTCTTCCATGCGTATGCTGCTTTTCTTAGATAATTCAATTGATGTCTATCAGGAGGCTTAGCACTAAGGAAAGGAAAGAGATCTTTTGTCGTAGCATTCATTTGTATTATTTCACTGCTTGCTCATTCATGAAAGATGTACATGAAAAGAGCAGATTCAATGATGGTTTGCAATGAGAGATGCTCTTTATTCTGAATCATCATTGCACTAAATATTAATCACAATAGAGTGAATGAAGGAAACTGATGCCTCAGACCCTTCCTGTTACTAAGCACCCATGGAGTATCTCTTCAGATACTCAATGCGACTGCCTTTGTTGAGGCATTTGTCCAGCACTAAGAAAGGCAGCAGAAATAAAATTTTTACCCACCATTGCATGAATTATGAAAATGTGGCAGAAAAAATGTATTATGTCATATCATTTAATATGAATTTTTGGGGGGAAGCAATGGTTTTTGAGGTACCAGTTTAATGCCATTTAGCATCATTGGGTAAAATACACCCTCAAAATAATAGTTCTCTGTTCATTTTCAGTTTTGCTTTCATGCCAAGTTGACATCCTTTTGCAATAGAGTTGAAGTTTTCCTCTCCTAAGCCAGTGGAAGTCTTCTAAGTCATGAAGCTAGCTTGATGTGACTTGCAAAGAGAAAGCTTGGAAAACATGGGTTTTATGGGTGACACCTGTAAGCAGTGTAATGTTTTACAAGTGGATCAAAAGAAAGCATGAACAAAAAAAGCACAAAAAAAAACAGCTTATACAATTCAGTTGAATTTGTAACTATTTTTAGTTGAATTTGAATGTATGGACTATTGAATAATGAAGAAATTGGTCTATTCTGTGAATCCATACCTGCATTTGAAGAATGAAAATTATTCAGAATGAAGAGGCATGGTCTCCAACTATATTAAAGAGGAAACAGCATGTCTATTGAAAGATCTATTTTTCCAAATTCTTGGGACAAGATATTCGGGCCATGGTTACATGTTTGTTTGCTGATGTGCAATGCAATGTACATGTTCCAGGTGAAAAGCTTTTTGATGGAACTGTGTGATGACCCATTTGAAGTGAACCTGCATGAGAACTACATCCTCATGGAGGATGAATCCAAGGAAATCACCAAGCGGGAGAATGTCCTCGAAGCCAAGGTACCTGGCAATCACCCCCCTCCCTCCCGTGTATAAAATCCTCAGTTGCTCAATTGAAGTGCATCTTTTCAGTATCGGGAACTGACAAGGAACCATTTTTCCACTGATGCAAAGTGGAAGGAGCTGCTGAAACAGCTGCAGCACCGCAATGCCGAGATCTACATCCAGAGATCGCGGAAGATAAGGGAGATGGCTCCACCTCGCACCCAGCTCTTGGGGTGGGAGATGACTGACATGGATCTACTCATCATGGCTGATCCAGACTTCCATGGTGTGACCAATGCCATGCGACACATGGTAGACATTGACCCAGACAGGTGGGACGTGCATAATGTTGCATCTCAATGGCTAACTTGAATATTTTCACTGTAAACTAATATAGACATTTTTCACCTGAAAGTAGATGCTTATTGAGGATGAGGCATCAATGAAAAACATACCTCTTTTGAATTCAAAGAAAGAATATAAATTCTCAGGCCATGCTACAGAGGTATGAGGAGGAAATTGAGCTCTCCAGCCTATCAAGCATTTATTTAAGTTATACTTATTTCCCCTTGACCTCATTTGGGAACCACATTGTGGTTTGCCTCATTCTGAGTCTTCTGTATTGCTCTTCACTTGTCACCTTGCCTTACATTTTCTTGAGATATCCTCCTGCCATCATCCTCCCACCAGCTCATGTTTCAAGGAGGTAACAGTGGTGATGTGCTGCTGGGATATTGGCAATCATTTCATTGATTTATTGGGCAAAGCAATAATACTTGTGTATTTCTTAGAATCACCTATAAAGAACTGGTAAAGAAACAATGTGGCTTTAATGTCTCCTATGAGTAAATGTAACCTATGTATCTGGTGGTATAAATGGTGTGGTGCCCCATGAGAAATAGAAGCTGCTCCCTGTCTCTCCTGTCAGTAGCAAGCAGGGAAATGCCAAGGACAACTGTTGCATGCTGGAAATGGTTGATGCTTTTGTGTAGACCAAGTATTTTAGGAATGATCAAATGGAATCTCTTGAGTGGCTTCATTGGTTAAGCATGAAATGATGGGGTTCATCGTTTCCATCATCTATATTTTCCTATTTCCTTTGACAGTCCCCTGCCAGCAGATGGGCTGAATTTCTCAATTCTCTGGTGCCGCACAGTGAACCTGGACTGCAAGAACGTGGGCGTGACCCTTCGGGATTACCCCCAGTCCTTGATCGACTTCACCGACTTCCACCTGTGGGGACGGCTACTTGGTGCCGAGCAGAAACCCACGTGGAGAGGTCTGTATTTTTCTCCCCTGCACTTCAGTATTTTCTCCAGGACTCAAAGATTCTCAAACCGTCATTTGCCCCTGCAGCGATCCGTACATGTGCAGTCGAGGTTGGGCACCCGTGGGAGAATGCAACCGTGGAGAGGAGTATGATGCCACTCAAATTCTTTTATGACTTCAGCTGTGATGTTGGGAGGCTCTCATTTGCCTATGGACCGTGTTGGGAACCTGCTCTTGCCCAGGTTGCTTGTCTTCCTTTTTGTTCTATTTTTTCGTCATAATGATATTTAACTTGTGCTGCATCCCATCCACAGAAAATCTTTGAGTTTGGTGCAAGTTATGTTAGAAAACGAATGCCAGTCATCCTTTTTTTTTATTATCTTTTATTCTATTTGTGCATCTTGAACATTTTATTTTTAAAATGTAACTTTTGAGTGTTGGCTCAAGGTGATTTCTCCATGAGTGTTGCAAGTTCAAATCATGGACTTATTGCTTTTGTTAATATTTCCTGATGAAAAGAAGAGAACTTCACACCTTTTCTTGCATTGGTCAGAATGGGAAAAGAGACTTGGAAGATTCCCTTCATTTGTACTTATTATCTTGCTCCTTTCTTCATGTGGGAAATTTGCTATTTGTGACGTATCCAGGTAATTTCACCATGTCATGCCATTATGCCAGGTGAGGGCATCTGGGAGAGGTATGAAAACTCATGTATGTGCAAGATTCAAGAATCATTAGAATCATAAGAAAGACATCCTGGCCATAACCTTAGCTGATGGCCCTTATCCCTGTATTCAATCAGAAAAGCAAGTTTGCATCAGCCTTGTAATAAGTAAAAAATTTTACCTTAATTTAAAAACTGAATTAGTGAATCTTGCATCCCTGCTCAATACATTACAGAGCATTGTAGTACATCAGTATTACCATTATACATTGTCATTTAGGTTCTCTAATAGTAATCCTCATGCCTCTTTAACTTCTTTAATTTCACATAATGAATGCTATAAGTTATTCCGCCAAGTAAAACTGAAATGGAAGGCATGACTCCCATCAACTGTCCCCTAGCCCGGCTAGGCTTTGGAAATGGTAAGAATATTGGCTCATACCAGCCATGCCACAAAGGAGTGCATCTGCCCAAGCTGGTAAATGCAGACGACCACTCAATAAATCATGAATAGATCCTCACTGAGGCCAGGTGATTTGGTGGGAGCAAAGGGATGGGAGAGGCAGGGACATGTGGGGAAATTGAGCAGTTTGGTTAATAACAGGCTTGGATCCCATCTATGAGGACCAAGTTCAAATTGTCTTTCCTGTACATGTTTTGACTTCTTTTGCTCCTATGAAATAGAGCATCTAAAAGTAAAACCATGCAGCTCTCATGTGTGATATGGGACACTTCATGTTACCCATGGAAACTGTCATGGTTTGCACAAATCGCAGTGCAAATATCCCAAAATTATCTGTTTGGATGAAGCACTTGCAGTAAACGTCTTTGGTGCAAATGCCATGCAGGTGAATGTGGCTCTGGAGTTCATCAATCGACCATCGCTCGACAGCTCCCCTCTGCTACCCTGGTGGGACA